TGCTTCACCTTCCCACTTCCCTAACTTCTCTGCGCCATAGATGAATTGGTGTTCTAGTGAAAACATCTCGAGCCGTCTGATCATTTTCGGGGAAGATCAAATTGATATGAGCTGTCCACGCAAAGCTTGATAGGTTTTGTTGAAGTCTAGGGAAATATCTGCTTATTTATTTTAATTTGTACCTTTGCCTACGTCATTGGTGAGTGTTACTAGTTTTCAGTCTACTGAAGCTTGGCTCCTCTTTGGTATATTAATGACTTTAAGACTAGTTTGTTTATTTTTAGTGAGGAGGAATTAGTACCACTGTTGAGATGTTGGTGAGGGATAGCTGTAGTAAGGCTACTATAGCGGTGGATCGTCTTGACGCACTGTTTTGCGTTATTGACAGATTTATAATCTTTTCAACGTCGGTTTGCTTCCAAAGCTTTGATTTGTTAAATTCATCAGTTGTTTTCCATTGCAGTTCAGCCTGTAGTCGATTTTAGTTCTCAAGAGGCAGACGCGCATATTCCTTGTACTACTTTTAATATGATTTTATTTAGTTTTTTTTTTTTTTTGTTTTTAGGATGATACATCTGACGAAGGAGTGGTTGATAAATTGCCGATTAAGAAACCAAAACCAACTTCTGATTTTGAGAAAAATAACGATGGAGATGAGGTTTGCTGCCTTTTGTATTGCAGTCTTCTACCAAATAAGATGATTTAGTCGATGGCAACTTGAGTTTTTTTAATTTGGTAGATTCCTCAAAGGTTCATCCAGATTGCTGCTGTTTTAAACCAGGTTTTCACTAGGAGTTTTTAAGGAGAAAGTCTTACCTTTAGTTTTATTGCGACTACAATTACATTTTATTTTGTTTGTTTTAAAATTCGGTTACTAATAGTTCAGAGCATTCAGACTTGTAATAGCAGTGAAATACTTTGAAGTTGTGCGCATTATTTTATGTGGCTACTTATTTTTCTTGCATCTCAAATTCCCTAATATCATTCATAGTCTAATATGTGAAACTGTTGCATTTTCTAGATGATGCCGCTTGGGAAAATGCGTTATGTGACGGTACGGTCATTTAAAGGAAGGGTATTTGTTGACATACGAGAGTACTATACAGACAAGGTCTGTAGGTTTACTAATTATCGATTTTTCCCACTATAGATTTGAACTTCATTAAAGTTTTCCAGAATGACGGGAAAATGAAGCCAGGTAAAAAAGGCATTAGTTTGTCGAAGGAACAGTATGAAGAGTTAAAAAAACTGGATTCTGAAATCGAGAGAAGGCTCACGGAAATGTAAAAATATTTGTTTCTTTCTCTGTACGAAGACTGCGTTTATCTTTCTCACTTTTAGTCAAGGACGTATAATTCAATTTCTTTTTCTAAGTTGAGTAGTTGTTTCAGTTGTAGTACATGAGACTCACTCATTAATGCTAATTTTTTTTCGGCATGTCGGTCTAATGCTCTTTAAGCAACATAATCTTTTGTTTTGATTTTACACTGTCTCAAGTTAAAGGTTTTGAAAAGCTTTATTACAAGATCTGAATTGTCCAAGTCAAAGTGCAAAAATAGTTTTTATCTTTTATGTTAAGTTGCAGAGAAAAGCATTCCTGTTTCATTTTTTAAGTAAAATTTAAAGTTTACTCTCCCGTTGTTTCAAATTATACATAATTTTCATTTTAATTGATATGGGTTTCCAGTCATTTTCTGTCTGGGCTTAGAACTACTGGCCTGAGGAGATTTGTGTGTGAGGGAAGGGAATGTCCTTTAATTGAATATTGACTTCTATTTCTGAGATTTTAGATTCATTCTTCCTTGCAAAAAGTAACTTCGTGTTCCTAATGTGATTTGGCAGCAGAATGGAAATTACAGTTTTTGTTGGGAGCCAAATGGCAGTTCCAAAATCCTTTGGCCTGAAGAAGCGCAGGAAGGACACAGTCCTGCTGTGTCAAAAGCCAGTGCCCCGAACTACCTAGGTTGCTACAGTAGGTAAGGCGTCCTACAGATGCCTTCAGTGTAGTTTTTAGGGCTTCCTCTTGTTATTTTTGGTGGGATACAATGCAGTCCTGGTATATGAAGTGAAAGTTTATTTGCAGAGAGGTCACTGTTTGACAGTCGGCAAGATTTTTAGAAAGAAGTGCGAGATTAAAGTACGGCGATCAATATGTGCGGGAACTCGACAGGGCCACTACAGTTGCCTCTTTTCTTGAGCATTGGCGTGTGCCGCTCAAGAAGTATCTAAAACATTGGCTCGTTTGTTCTAGTACTGTGTCGTTATCCGTTCGAAACTGGATTTGTAAAGAGTAGAGATGGGCGATAGAAAGTAGGATCGGGCAAGCAGGCAAGAAGTGAATTCTGAATGCAGCTTTTTTTATTGTGCACCGTGAGGTTGAGTAGACGTATCAGCTGTGAGACTGTAGCAGCCCGGCATCACTAGAAAAGCTGTCAGGGACTTCCGATCTAGTTCAGACATTTGTCACGGGAACTCCGCAGAACTTCCTACCTAGGTAAACTTGTGTCTCCCGTAAAGTACTACCTCTGTGCACTTAAATTCCACTTGAAGTGGAAAGTTGTTTCCCCTAGACGATCGTGCTACACAATAACGAGCCGGAAGCCTGCTAGAGACTCCACAATAAAGCACTGCTCACATAATGTGCAAGCAGAATTCCAAGACGAAAATCATGTAGGAATGAAGCCATAGCGCTCCCGATTTCTCAAATAATTACTTTCCAGCCCGAACGCGTGTCAAGAATTCTAGGTCATTTTAAGATGAAGATCGTTCGAAGACTCGGGCTGTGGTACACTGCATGTCAGGTCCACAAACCGTCTTTCAGCCTGACAGGCGATGTAGCAACTTGACAATGCGTTTATTTGTCAAGTAGCGGCGTGAACATCTTCGTGGCTCCCACACTCTTGTTATAAATTTCAGCGGGACAGCCCGGGAAGCTTTAAGTAAGTAGTGAAGGGTCGCAAAAAAGCACGTCCTACCAAGTTAACAGGCAAACCGTGAGTTAGCATTCAGAAGGCAAGGCTATAAGGCCAAAATGAGACTTGACTTAAATTACGAGCTAAACGGAGACTGTCTAGTTTACTCATTTCAAGCTAAAAGTAGTGTCAACTTGGCAGGCCACAAGCACACTTGTAACGTCTTAAGTCCAAAAGTTTACTCAGGGTGTCGGTACCGCGTACCACAATCATAACCTTTTATACATCGGGATAGAGAAATTAGGTGGGACGCACTGTATACAAGTTGGGAATAAAAATTTTAATCTGCATCGGCTCGAAGTGCTTAAAAGCAGGCTTCTTAATTACCATTGTATGATACATTTTCATATTATACGGGAACCATCGAAAACATTGGGTTACCGCAGGTCAATAACTTCCGCATTTAATTTGCTGTCGAATTCTACGTCAGTACATACGTTGAAAAGCGAGTTCGAGTTGTCGTGTGGGTGGAATTTGGTCTGATGACAGTTCCCGACTTCTTTCATCCCTTCTGGAGAAAGGCGGAATGCAACAACTCTGAAAATACCGTAGAATTCTGCTGTCACAGAACTGTGTTTGAAACCTCTTTGTAAAACAATGTCCGGCCTCGTTATTAAGGAAAAAGGCTCACAGGAAAAGCACTTACTGGTTATATTTCGGTGCGACAACAATAGCAATCGCTTCAGGTAACATTAACTGATATGCGCAATGCGTATGTAAATCCACGCTAGATAAAAATGCAGTTTGTGATGGATGAGTCTATAAAATGCGATTTAAATGGTAGAAGAAAGACTCATCCACATCTAAGAAGCAAGAGAAAATGAAATTGCTCTGAAAGTGAGAGATAAAACACTGTGTCTTAGGAGCCTTTTCAAATGCATTTGGTTGTCACTTTCCTAATTCTGAAGCATGATTAAAGAACCAAGTAGGACTAAACAAAATCAAACAAAATTTTTTAGCTAACATGAATCCAGCCGAGGGTGATCAAATTATGATTATCTTGGAATGCAAATATTTCTTCCTCATTATGCATGTCGCAGCTATCTGGAGATCCATCTTGTTTAGGGATTACCGCGTGGGTAATGCGGTATATGCCACCGCTGCCCTAAAAGTGGACTAAACCATAAAATATTACCGAAGTCATTCAAGCTCGTCAGTAACAGTGAACAATAAAATACCATATTGCCACAGAGTACAGCACAGGTTTCTATATTTAGCGAGGTGTTCCTTTCTACCTTCTCTATAAATTTACCAACAATTCCGCTGGCAATTCTCAATGTACATGGCCTTCGCAACAAACCGTTTTGGGAACTATAATAAAGGAGGTATCAAACAAAAACATCGTCCTAAGAGGACATAAAGAATCAGAAGGTTAGGCCGGATTGGGCGCTAAGAACTCGATGAAAAAATTCAGTGCTGATATTTACTCGTAACATGGTTGGGATGAAGGCGCAGATGGCTTAAGAGAGTCTCCAAGGCCTTGTGAAACGCTTGAAGGTTTGTCCAAGTCATTGTTGTCCACCACGGCAGTGGCAGCAGCAGCGGCAGCAGCAGCAGCGGCAGCTCTTTCAGCCCTCTAAATTTTTCTCAACTTTTAAAGAAAGAAATAAATTAAAATCTATTCAGTTCAATTAACAATCTAGGAGGGAAAACAAAAGGCAATTAATAACGACAGATGATTAATGCTGAAGGAAAAGCAGTACCTCAGCTTCTCTCTCTTCAAGAATCTGTTTAGCTCTGATAGAATCTGCTTCAAACTTTTCCTTCAACCGTTGCTTTAAAAGTTCTGCTCTGTCGAAAGCTGCTGCAAGGGACTTCTCTGCTTTTATCTTTTCTTGGGAAGTGAAGCCCTTATAATCCTGATGATTTGGCAGTTCTTCCACAGCTAAGCTTAAAAAATATTTCTGTTCAACTAAAAGTTCTCCATCTAGAAATACAACTATTTAAACAACGAAAAAATTTAAAAGCTGGTATTTGTATTACTTACGTGACGAAACGAATGTAAAGTGAAAGCGCTTTCTCAAAATTTTTTTCTTCCACATAAAAGCCAGCAACACGATAAATTTCATTTAAGCTCCGATAGTACCTAAAGGTTGTTAATAAATTCATACAGTTAGCAGAAAAAACTAATTAACTGTAGATTTAAAGGTAAGCCTGAAAGAGGAACTAAAAGAAGAAACTCAATGTTTCCGTTTATTTTGGTTGCTTTGAAAAATAACTGCTTTTTTTCCTACTTTTCATACCTATTAATCCTAAACACAGTCTTCTAGCCTACTGTGGGCAACAAACTGCTCGTTAATATACACTTTCAAAAATTGTGTTCACAGAAGTTCGGAATGCAGTATGAGTCCTGCGTTTTAGGAATTCAATACACCTCCACTGTTTTCAGGTCAAAAAATCTCCTTGCTCATGAAGGCTACCACACAGCTCTCAACCGAATCAAGAGATCGGTGTTAAGGAGAGGAAAGGGCGAAGACAGAGACAACAGAAACCTGGATTTTTGAAGCCACTAAGGTAGCTGTAATGCAGTTTTCGTCGCAAAAATACAATGAGTTGACAAGGTTGGACATTAGACAAAAGATAAGCATTATTTCGTAATCTAAAAGTCGAAGTGAAGAGGTCAAAAAATATAAACGGAATACATGGAAGGGCACTTAGAGCAAAATAGGTGAAAAAAAATCAATCAAAATCTCCCTCATTATACG